TTTTTTTTTCTTTCTTTCTTTCTTTCCCTTTCCCCTAATTGTTGTCATATATATATTTGTATATATATATATATAACACAACATTTGCCAATTCAACATTTTTTGCATTACAATTCAATGACACCAATTACCTTAATCATGTTGTGCAACTATTGGCAGTGTCTGTTGCCAGACTTTTCATCCTCTAAGCAGATGTTCAAAATTCCTAAATGTCTCTCCCTTTCCTCTGCCTCCCACCCTGGTAACTACTAATAAACTTTAGCCTCTAAACATTTGTGAGGCTGACAGACTTCTGGGGAGCTATGAATCCCCAAAAATGATAGGCATCATATTTTCAAAAAGATCTGAGACCCAAAATGTTTAAGGACTAATCATCTAGGGTGCTTTCAGGAAGGGGCGAGATGTGGAAGGATAGGGAAAAAAGTGAAGGAAGAAGTAGAGGACTGAGATCACAAAGAGGGGAGAAATCAGGATTGAGTAAATTTGTGAAGTCAGCATTTTAGTTCTCAGGCACTGAATGAAATGTAGAAATATGAAACTAGAAGAATCACACTGGATGTAGGAATGGTTAGAGAAAAATTACTATCTTATTTGAAAAGGGAAAATAATTAAAATCTCAAATAAGCACAACATAGGCTAGAAAATGGACAAGATATCAATTTCCCCAAAATTTGGGAGACACAAACACAGCAATTCCTGACATTTTTAAATCATGGTAAATGAAGGTGATCTGGAATCATCACTTGTTCCCTCACTCACTGCAGGGTTGTTTCAGTTACATTGGTCAAGTGCATGAGCACCTTCTGCCTCCCTCTCCCCAGAAATGTTTCTTTCCCACAGGTCAGATGGGGCTCCAGCTTCAGCACGCCATTTTTCCGCTAAGGAAGCAGCAATTCTCATCACCGGAGGGCACTGTGGTGTTGATTAACAAATACGAAAATCACTGAAAAATGAATTCCAGCCTTAACCTCTGAACTACCAGGATATTTGACCCATATGAATACACAGCTTAAAGAACTAAAATAGTGGAATAGTCACCAGGATTTCAAAAATGGGGAGACAACAACTCACCCTCCATCTGCTAAGTGTTTGTGGGTGAAGGCCAGGAGGTCAGCAGCCCGGCCTGTACCTTCACACACCACCACTGGATCCTTGTCCTTCACAGTCTCCCACACTGAGAGGATCACATTGGGGCCTCCTTCCACCACCAGACCCACTACAGGCACACCTTGTCTTGTACCTATTTCAGACCACAAACAGTACCACAACATTAACAGAATCCCTATGGCAGTCAATTGTCAATTTCAATATCATAAGTTTTTCAATTACCACATATGCTCATTACTTGCCCTAGTAAGTGAGGCACTTGAACTTCAACTAAAATGTTGGATAAATGTGATGATAGCATGGTCAAGCTCCTACTTGATTTGAAAAAAAAAAAAAAAAAAGAAAGAAAGAAAAGGTTATTCAAAGCTCTCAGTAACTTTTAAAATATAAGTACTAGTTGCCATCGAGTGGTTTTGCCTCATGGTGAACTTTTGTGTGCAGAGTAGAACAGGTAGAGCAGTGCTCCATAGGGTTTCCAATGGCTGTAATCCTTTAGCAGTTGATCATTAGGGCTTTCTTCAGAGCCCAGCTTTCTTCAGAGTTGCCTTTGAACTGCCAACATTTCAGTTAGTAGCTGAGAGCTTAACCCTTTGCACCACTCAGGAACTCCAAAATAAAAATAGTCATCAAGAAATTTTAACTTTTTATCCTGGAAATTTTCAAGCCTATCTAAAAACAAAGTGAATAATGAAATGGATCCCAAGGTATCTATCACTCATAACCAAAGATTAGCAACCTTTTGCCAATTCAATAAAATTTATTTGTGTCTGTTGCTTAGGTGTAGGAACAAGAAGGGCTGGGCAACCCGCAAAGGCTTTTACATTTCCAGTTCTCCCATTCTTCACGGTTTAATTTCTTATTATGATTTTACATTACTTTAATAAATGAAAGAAGGCGAAAAAAAAAAAAAAAAGGAGGAAAAAATACTATGAGGTCATTTATAAATACATATAATAATACAACAGGAACCTACATTGCTCACATTTCAAATGTCTGAAGCCAGAGATGCCTACAGCAACTTTAATTTTCTCTTTCATTGTAAGTGTTCTCTGCCAACATCAAGTGTTTGCCAGGGACCCCAAGAAGCCTGGCTTCCTAATAAAACCAATACAGACAGTGAAAAAAGTCTCTTCTCAGTCCTTGATCGGGGCACTCCCCCTGGCCACATGAGAAGAAATGAAAGCAACCATCAAAATATTTAAGTATTTTCATTCACTCAGAGCCAATCTCCGACCACTTCAGAGATAAACATAACTATGGCAGCTTTTGTTCGCTGCTGTCGAGCCGGCTCAGAACCGTGGTGAGTGACTCCATGTACAACAGAACAAAGCGTTGCCAAACCTGCACCGTCTTCATGATCACTGATATGTCCTACTCCATTGTTGCAGACACTACGTCTTGTGAATGTCTTTTAAGGTAGAATTACAGTGTATATCAAATAATACATAATATGTGGTGATCCATAGGGTGTTCACTGGCTAATTTTCTATAGTAAATCTCCATGCCTTTCTTCCTAGACTCTTAGTCTGGAGGCACCACTGAATCCTGTCCATTACAGGTATTTAATACCAGTGATATAGCTTACAGCATCAGCGCAACATGCAAGGCACCACAGTACAACAAACTGGTAGAAGGCTGGTGGAACTAGGGCAGTAAACCTCTTCAATGCAGCATATCAGGTACAAATATCAGCTTTGATACATAAGAATTTTACCATTGTTGTGGGCTTCCCCCTCCTTTTTTTTTTCTTTTCTTTCTTTGTGCATGTGTGTGTGTGTATTAGGTGACTTAATGTTTTTGTTAGTTTTCTATCAATTATCCTCAGATTGATAAGTGTTACCAATCCACGAGAATTGCTTCCACAATCTTTTTCTACAGACAACTCAATCTTCCAGTTGAATATTTCAAGATCATTAAGAAATAGAAATGTCACTGGCGGCTATATGCAAGCTCAGAGTTCCTTTCATTCCTTCCATAAGAGGGAGTCGGGAAGGAATAAGAAAGACACAGACTTTGCTCCCTGGGGCTGACAGTATACTGCTGCATAGAAGCCTGAGCAATTTGTGTGGTTAGCACTGTCAGTACAGGTTACCTATCAACATTTCATCACTCGTATTTCAGACCCCAACCTGGGCCTTCCCTGAAGGGATTCTTCCTCCTGGCCCAGCCTGTCCTCCTTCCCTCTCCTGTTTTTCTCCCTTTCCCCTGCCCACTCTCATCAAACACTTAATTTTCTCTCCCTTTTCCCTGACCTAACCGAGAACTCTGGTGGCATAGTGCCTGAGGCATTTGACTGCCAACCAGAAGGTTGGTGGTTCAAACCCATCAGCTGCTCTGTGGAAGGAAGATAGGGCAATCTACTTCCATAAAGATTTACCACCTTGGAAAACCAATGGGGTTTTCAATGTGTTTGGTGTTTTTGGTTTAACTGAGCCTCAGAACCTTCATTCACACTAAGTTCTACATAACTAGCAAAAATTCCCAGAGTTTCTGCCTTCCTCGCCTACCAGATGACCCCTGTGACAAAGGAAGAAAAAGAGAAAAAAAGAAACAGATAATTGTTAAGGATGAACTATGCAGTGAACACTGTTCTTGGTAAATCTAAGTAATATCCCATTACTTTTACTATCCTCACAATGAAAGCAATAAGAGGTGAGTCCTTTCATTTTATGTAAGAAGACAGTCTGACAGATGTTAACTTTATTGACTAAGGTCATAGGGATTAAATGAGAAATCTTTCATTTATCTAATGTTACTGCACTATGCTGCCGCAGGAGATCAAAGCCAAAAACTAAAAAGACCTTCAGTATGTACCAGTCAAAGGTCAAAAGTCAAAAGAGAACCTACTTCCTCAAGGGCATTCCCTCTCACAAGCCCTCTGCTTCAAACGATGTGAATACAGGTATGTGTTGCTTAACAGCCACAATATGTTCTGTGAAATAGGACATCATGTGATTTGAATGTTGTGTGAACACCATATTAAAACTTTATGGGAGCCTCCTTCCAGTCATCCATGTTACCATGGCTGCCACTGCTGCTGCTGCTGGAGCTGCTGCTAGAGACTGGAAGAACGGTGGCAGGAGCATCATCGCTGGCTGAGAGGGCAGCAGCAGAAGCAGAACAAGAGGGAGATAATGGTGAAGGAGTAGACAGCACCCAGCCCCAGCCACCTGAGCAGCAGGAGCAGCCTGGCCCCACAGCCCCCACCCACCTGCCCATGGGACAAAGCTCAGAGAGCCCACACCCAGAGCCATGTCCTCTACCTCACTTGCCTATACCCACCCATGGTCCAGTGCTGCAAGAGTCTGGATTTGGAGTTTGTAAAACCATTAAACCAAAAAAAAAAAAAAAACCAAACTCATTGCCATTAAGTCTATTCTGATTCATAGTGATCCCCACTGGTTTTCCAAGGGTGTAAATCTTTAAAGAAGCACACCTCCTCATCTTTCTTCCACAGAGTGGCTGCTGAGTTCAAACCACCCATCTCTTTTGGTTAGCAGCCCACCAGTCGCTCCTCAGAAGGACGATTGGGCAATCTACTTCTGTACAGATACCACCTCGGAAACTCAAGGAGGGGTTGCTATGAGTTGAATCAACTTAAAATATAAGTACTAGTTGCCATCGAGTGGTTTTGCCTCATGGTGAGGCACCTTCTTTAAAACCAAAGCTCCTTCTTTAAAATCATTAAAAACCAAATAAACTCACTGCTGTCAAGTTGATTCAACTCATAGCAACCCCTCCTTGAGTTTCCTAGGTGGTATCTGTACAGAAGTAGATTGCCCAATCGTCCTTCTGAGGAGTGACTGGTGGGTTTGAACCACCAGCTTTCTAGTAGCAGTCAAATGCCTTAGGCACTATGCCACCAGAGCTCCCTTAAAATCATTGGGGAAAACCATTAGGGGAAATTAATTAAGAAAACTGGAAAAAAAAAAAACCTTATGGGACCATGGATATATATGTGGTCAGATGTTGTCCTAACAGATGTTGCCTGACACGTACCTTTATTCTGTGAAATATTTAAATAAACACAAGAAGTAGGACCCATCTTCTATTACACCACCACCACCAGTTGGCATTGGACTCTAACTCATGGTGATCCCATGTGTGTCAGAGTAAAACTGTGCTCCACAGAGTTTTCAATAGCTGATTTTTGAAGTAAATTACCAGGGCTTTCTTCCAGGGTACCTCCAACCTTTCAATGAGCAGCTGAGCATGTTAAACACTTATACCACCCAGAGACTCTTTCACCTTCTGCTACATTGAACTAAAAGGCTACATTCCCTGGCCGTATCCTGGCCTTATTGTCACTGTAAAGAATTCCCACCTCTCTGCCCAGGGACATTTGCAGACTCTGGCTGCAGTGTAGTAAATTACTTAGTATGGCTTTTCTACCTATAAGTCATTGTAAACTCAGTGGTGGAATGAGCAACTGAGGAGCTCCTGATTGTAAATGTTATCCACCTGGGTTATTTCTGTTGGGCGTGGCACAACACAATGTTATGGGATGCTCACTCTCAGGTGCTTAGAATTCTGTTGTTATGATTGGTTGGTTTGACCACTCTGCCAAGCTCAAAAGGAGGCCTCCTAGAGGCAGAACTCTCCCTGACTGCTGGTTGAGGAAGATGTGCTGCTGAAAGAGACACGCGCTACTGAAAGAGACATGTGCTGCTGGGAAAGAGACGCAAGAGACATGTGTTGCTGAGTAAGACATGAGGGACCAGAACTGCTGGGGGAGAGACTGTGAGAGACTTGGCTGAGAGATATTGGGCTGGGAGAGAGACTGAGCATTTTTCCTGAACTTGAATTGTAGCCTCGTGCTTCCCTAATAAACCCCATAATCTGTGAGTTCTGCGTGGCCACTGCAGTGAATTATCGAACCCAGGAGAGAGGTGGTGGATGCTTTGGGAGGAACGGTTGGAGAAAGGGCTGGAGGGAGGCAGCATGTCTGGCCTTGCAGTAATAGGCCTTGGGCTATTGATGGTGATTCTGCCTTCCTCTTGTGGGGTTCTAGGAGGTCAGAATATGCAGCCTCCTTGTCCTTTTCTCACTGGCCCTCCCCTCTTCTCTCAAGTGAATCAGAACAGTTCTCTTGAACATTACTGTGAGCATGACACAACCTTGACACCTTCAAAGGATCCCTGTTTCTAAAAAATCCTGTCCAGTTTCCAGACCCTCCCCCATTTGAGTTCATCCTCATATGAAATATCTTTTCCCATGACTATCAAAGCTCATAGTGCACTCTTCTCAGGCTAATCTTTGGATTGTTCTTCAACCATCCTCTTTCTCACATCAACACTTCCTCTCTTTCCTGCATCCATCCAACCCTAAGTAGCCTCCAAGCCTCAGCTAAAGTCTCCACTCTTCCATAAAACCTCCCCTGACTATATTGTCACACAAAGATTTTCCTCTCTCACAACTGTCAGTCATAATTCTGCACCATCTATATTCTGTCATCTTCTTCTGGTTATGTGCTCACACATATTAACTGAATCTCTCTGGCTGCTCTAGGACAGTGGCCTACTGGGGTAATTGGTAGTGGTAGTTCAGTGGTATAATTCTCACCTTCCATACAGCAGACTTGCATTTGATCCCCAGCAATGCAACTCATGTGTAGCCACCACCTGTCTGCCAGTGGAGGCTTGTGTGTGGTTATGATGCTGAATAGGTCTCATCAGAGCTTCCAGACTAAGACACACTAGGATGAAAATCCTTGCAATATACTTATGAGAATCAGCCAGTGGAAGCCCTATGGATCACAAAAGTCTGATTCACAACTGAGCATGGGGATGGGGCAGGACCAAGCAGCATTTCAATCGATTGTACATGGGCTTACTATGCACCAGCATCCAATTCAATGGCAGCTAACAACACTCTGTACAGATGCCAAAGGAGCACCTTGTTCACAACAGGCCTCACATACATCACCACAGCCAGGACTCTCTGACTGAGCTCCAATGCTACTTACGGCTATGTATTTTCTGCAGGGACAGGTATTTTTCCAGATTCCTCCTGAGCTTCATTTCATTGCCGTACTTGCCCACAGTGCCATCATCAGACAGAATGAAGTGTGAGTGTCTGCTGTTGAGCGTGGTGAGCTTGCTGAGGGGATTACTCAGAGTCTGGTACAAGCACACCACCTGAGATAAAGCAAGGACAAGGGAAGGTCAGAACTCAAGAGCTCTCCCCAGGCTCAACCACACCCAAAACCTGTCTATACTGCAGTTGTTGTCAAGGTTAAATATATATATATATATATATATATGACCTTCATCAGAGCAGTGCTTCTCAAACTACCTGTGGTGAGGAATCAGTTTGCTTTTCCTATAATTTCCCATTTTTATGAATCAATATGCTGTCCTCCTATGCATGAGTAATACATAGCAGCTATGTGTGCACATGAAATACAGCTACAGATTCACCACACAACTTCAACAACACTCATGTAGAAATAACTATGTTAAGTATTTAAGCTAAAGAAATACATTTGTAGCAGTAAATTTCTGTTATCATTCTTTTTACACACATAATTTTTTTACTATACATGTATAGGAGCTCTGGCTGCGTAGTGCTTAAGGCATTTGACTGCTAATCAGAAGGCTGGCGATTCAAACCCACCAGCCACTTCTCAGAAGGAAGATGGGGCAATCTACTTCAATAATAATACCACTTCAGAAACCAAAGTAGGGGTTACTATGAGTCAGGTCCAACTCCAACTCGATGGCACATAACAACAACAATAGTCATATATATATATATGTTGTTGCTGCATATGTGAATGAATATATATAGTATATTCATTCACATGCATTAATGAAAAATTCAGTAACTAAACACACCAATATGTTAGCTGTGGTTATCTTCTATATATCTTTTGTAATATCTAATGTTTTTATAAAAAAATAATACACTGGTATTAAAAACAAAAATTAGTGTATCACTATTCATTTCAGAAAAGTCCATTCCCTTTAGAAGAACAAATAGATGGGGTCAAGGAATTAATAAATATGTGAACAGGAGCATATTACTAATGTCCTCTGCTTAGACCATTGCAAGAACTTTGGCTTTTGCTCCAAGAACAACAGGAGCAATTAAAAGATTTTGCACAGAGGAGTGACACAATCTGACTTATACTGTAAAGGAGTCATTCTGGCTACTGTTGACAATAGACTTGTATGGGAGACAAGGGTAAAAGTTGAGAAGATTGTTACCATCATCCAGGTGACAGATAATTGTGCCTTAGATCTCCTCAGTAGCAGTGGAGGTGAGGAGAAGTTGGATTCTAGATGTATTAATAATAGAGCTCACATAACTTAGTGATTTGAGTTTCAGTTTGAGGTGTGAGACAAGGAGAATATTTTAGGATTACTCCAAGGTTTTCAGCCTGAGCTACTCCAAGGCTGGGATTGCATTTTCTAAGAGGGGGTAGGAAAGGAAGTCAGGAGCTTGGTTTGGGAAGTACAAGTAGTCCCCAACTAATCACATATTAGAGTTACAACAAACCATGCTTACAACCATCCTTTTCTTGTGCATCTTATGAAGTTATGGGAAAATACATGCAGAGACTATGGAAAAAATTTCTGAGTTATGTGAATATGCCTCAAGCATTTGATAAGGATAATATGATGGAAGAGATTGGTGGAAAGATCATTTACATGGCAAGAATAGTAAATTTAGAACTTAATATCACTAATATCACTAATGTGGAACAGCTCAGAGATCATGAAAAAGAGGAATTGACAGATCAGGACTTTATAGATTTTAAAAAGGAAAGAAATGCTGAAGAAGAAAAAGTGAAGAAAAGGAAGGAAAAAGTGGTCCAAATACTTTACAATAAAAGGATTAGCTGGACTATTTTCTAAACTAAATCAGGGGCTTCAGTTGCTTGAAAACATGGACCCAAATGCTTATTGCTTTGCTAATGTCAGTAGACAGATTTGGAAAGCAGTGAGATGTTTCACAAAGTATAAGAAGAAAAAAAGAAAAGGACCATACAGACAACTCTCACTAATTTTCTGACTGGAAACACCATCCCCATTCGCGGGAATGATCTAAATGATCCAGAATCTTCCTCAGTGGAGAGTAATCACTGCAACTAATAAAAATGTCAATGTCATACAACTCTTCTTCATCATTGGAGTAAATTTTTATGATTAGTGCATTTTATGTATGCATTAAAATATATATGTAAGCTTATATGTAATGTTTCCAACTCCAAAAAATAAAGATAGAATTTATAAGGATACTGTTAACAAAAGGCATAATAATGAAAATCGAGAAAAAAAAATGAGGTATTTGACTTACATCAGAAGCAATTTACAACAGAGTCAGCAAAATGGAACCCTGTTGTAAATTGGGGACTACCAACTTACGTTTAAGATGTTTATAAGCCATTCAGGTGCAGTATTAGTTGGCATTCAAATACAGGTTTATTTCCATTTATTATGAAAGAATTGTCTACTTACATCTTTTCCAATAAGATCTCTCTGGTTCTCAATGACACCCCAAGGAGGGATTCCAACAGTCCAGATTTTTCTCAAGGACTGTGAGGAATGGGCTTTCAGAGCATCCCCAACATGTTTGGACACTCCTGTGAACAAGTTTAGAGGTCAAACTTTAACTCAAAATCATGCAAAACACAGTGGCTGCCAGAAAGAAACAAATAAGCAAGTACAGGCTTCCCCCGCTATCCAAAAGGAGAGCATTCCTATTAAACTGTTCATAAGCCTAAATGCCATAAAGCAAAGAAACAATTACCACTCATTTATATAGGAAAAATTTTTTTAGCATTCCCAGACCCAAAATTTAACCTACCGAATCATACCAAATAACACATAAAACCTAAAATAACACTAACATTTAGTGAGTGTTCACAGACACAGGTAAGTGCTATGGCAGCTTGATGTTGAGATTCTGAGTGTAGTTACTAGGAGAGGAGCCTGGCAATGCCACTCTTGCTACTCTGGAAGCGTGCTGCCTTTTTAACAGCTGGCAGCAAAATAAATGCTGAATGCTAGTTTCACTTTTCACCTTTTTAAATAAAAGATAATATCCTCTTCAAATTTCTTTCTGTTAGTGGAAACAGGTAGTAATATAGTATAGATCTTTCATAAAAGTGAAGTGGTATTGAGTGAACTTTCAAAAATCAGGGGATACCTGTATACACAAAAGGGAAAGATGCTGGCAGACAAGAATTCGTTTCTGATATCTTGTCTACCTCGAATCCCTCTCAACACCTCTTTCTTTATCACTGACCTTTCTACCTGGAAAACATCCCTCTCTTTTTGGGAATTTTATGTGTACAAACTGAGCTCTGGTGTTTCTCTTCCCTGACCAGAATATCCTGCGTATTGTCCCTTCAGAGCAAGGCCAGCCCTGACATCATAAATGTCCTAAATGTTTTTTTCTCTTAACTGTCTTCACTGTTAAAAAAAAAAAAAAAAACATCCTAGAGATGCATCCCTTGCTTCATTGAAGAGATGATACTATAACACAGATTCTGACTTCCCAGGTCTGGGGTGGAACGTGAGATTCTGCATTTCTAGCAAGCTCTCAGGTAACACTGACACAGCTAGTCCATGGACCACTATATTTTTAACCAGGCCCTGCAAAAGCTGTGGTTGAACAGTGGTATTGAGGAAAAGGGAGACATAGAGAGGGTCATGGGAGGTAGAGACAACAAAGATGAACCCTTTTGCACATACAATACTGCATTATCAGTGAAGGCAAACATTGATATATGGGTGGATAGATGGGTGGACAGGCTGAACTATTAGGTATGTCTATGCAGAGGGGAGTGTGCCCATCACCATGTATAGGGTTGGAAGACAATGTTTCTACAATGTATTTGTATGTTCTGTAAGAATTCCCAGGTATATAGTATAACTGACAAAGTTGTAGTTACTTCTTGGTCACAGCCAGCTACCAGAGGGAGCAAGTAGTTGGACCTGTGGCTCGGGAACATAGTTGCAGGAGACATCAAGCTCAACTGGCATAACATACTACACAAAAACGTTGTTCCACATTCTAGTTTGGTGAGTAGTGACTGGGCTCTTAAAAGCTGGCAAGCGCCCATCTAAATGCAACTGTGGGTCTCTCCTCTTCCAAAGCAAATAAGAATGAAAAAAACCAAAGATGCACAGAAACAATTAGCCCAAATGACTGGTACACCATGTGATCCTCAGCCTTTATGACTGTGAGACCAGAAGAACCAGATAGTGCCTGGCTGCCATTGTCAACCACTTGGAGGGGGATCTATATAGGAGATCCTGGATAGAGTAGGAGAACAATGCAGAGCAAAACTCAAAATCATTTAAAAAAGGAGGGGGGGGGGCAAGTTTACTGATCTGATAGAGCCTGATGGAACTACTGAGACTATGGCCCCTAGCTGCCCTTCAGGTCTGGAATTGAACCCACTCCTGTGGCTTCCAGACAAACAAAAGACAGGCATATGAGTTGAACATTTGCATTAGGTAGATACACTCCTTGGAGAGATCAATGGTGGGAGAACAGAAAGGCTGTGTATGTACAGGGAGACTCCTCGGGGGCAGGAATGCGTGGCAGGGAAGGACACAGGGAACAGGTAACTATGGTGAGGAAGTGGAAGGGGAGCTGTTGCATTGTGGGAAATTGCAGTCAATGTCATGAGACAAAGTGTATGTGAGCTGCTGTAAGGAAAGTGAATTTGCTCTGTATACTTTCACCCAAATCACAGTAAAAATTAAAAAGAAAGAAAGAAAGAGTCGTGGTTGAATCAAGTCAGACCCGGATTGGTGATTAAGGAGCCCCAAGGATTTCTCATTTTCCATTTCTTTGGTTCATAGAAACTATTTCAATGGTCTTCACACTATTGTATTTGTATTCCTTAGTAGTCCCTAACCTATAAGTTAAGAAAGAAAAGAGAGATAAAACAATGAATGCAGTTAATTATTCAGAGAAAGAGCCTTGCCTTCCTGAACTTGGTGAACCTTCCCTACCTCCTCTCCTCTTTTTTTTTTTGTTGGAAATAAAATAAATAGTATACAATGGACTTAGAACTCTGCCACTTTCATTTTCTTCCAGGAATGTGAAACAATAATTATCTCAAGAAAAGGTACAAAATGAACGAACTATCAGGTTACCCATTAGTGACTGACAGGCCAAATCCCTAGGTTTCATTTTGCTTTGTTTTTCTCAATCATCTGCTTCCTTTATTCCTTTTCAGTCAGGCGGCAAAGGAACTATTTGTTAAATCAGAATCTGTTGCCAAGCGCTAAGGCCTGCCCTCTAGCTTTCAACCACACAGGACAGCTATTACACAAACTTATGCCAATAGCAACAACAACAACAATGCCAACCTGTAAGGCAATCCAATAGAACCTGCAAAAGTGGAGCCTGTGTAAGGTGGAAACCTGTCAGAGAAGGAAAACGGAAATATTTTCCACTAAACAAGCAACAGAAAAGTGGTAAAACTGTACCCTGTCAAAGGCAGAAAACTTGTGAGACCCAGAAGAACAAGGCTGTCACATCAAGTTCTGGCTCTTACAGGTTTCACTGTATATAACTGATATGAGTCAGATTTGACTTGGTGACAGTGAGTTTGGTTTTTGGAAAGTGTGGGAAGAATTGAACAGGAACTATTGGGTAGGGCATCAAAATAAAAAAGATCAAAAACTAAAAGGAAAATGGAAAGATAGAGTTAATAACTGATCACTAAGAGAAGATTAATGGAGTGACCGTTCTCAACCCTGGCTGTACATTCTTCAGGAGCTCTACCCTCCAAGAATCTATCAATTTGGGGTAGAGTCTATGCATCTGCATTTTTTTAAAAAAGCTCCCAGGTAATGCTAATGTGCCAACCAACCCATTGCCACCGAGTCAATTCCAACTCATAGCAACCCTATAGGGAAGTGTAGAACTGCTCCAGAGGGTTTACAAAGCTGTAATCTTTATGGAAGCAGACTGCTACATCTTTCTGCTGCAGAGAGGCTGGTGGGTTCGAACCACTGACCTTTTGGTTAGCAGTCGAGCACTTAACCACTGCATCATCACAGCTCCTGCAGTCAGTTCATAAATACCAATGCAAAAGAGAAAGGTTAGAAGTTAAATGCCACTAGATGAAGTTCTTGAAGGATATAAGAGTCAGTGACAAGCAAATAGAGATAGTAGGTGTACTGGCTATTATGTAGCTTAAAATATATATGTATATGTGTGTGTGTGTGTGTGTGTATCCATATATATATGAAATGTAATTGTCTGCTTATGCTCAATACACTCAGTGCAAGTTTTACACACATCACTGCTTTCCAATGTCTGAGAACTTGACAATAACTATGTGAGTTTAGCTGATGTCCATGCCCACACATGTTACACAGTTGCATGGAATCAATGCTCCTTCTAGCCTCACCATAGTCTGAGTCTCATGAAAGACTATTCTTTGCCAGAAGCTCACTCAGTGACAATGGTATAATTACACTCCAGAGAAGGCCTATGATTCTTCTGAGTTTATTTTCCAGTCACCAGGCTTTCCATCTTTCTTCCTCACACACCACATCTACTGGAGGTGCTGCAGAGCAGAGATTGTCATATTGCCTTATTTAGAGTTCAGAAAGAGAGAATGAAAAAAGAAAGAAAGAAACAGGGGAGTGTGTGTTACCAGTATTAATGCCTTCGGTCAGTATCCATGCTCCTGTTGTCTCTGCAGCTTTGACCAAACCTTGGCTGAATATCTCTTTAAGTTTGGAGGGCATTTTAAAGTTCTGGATACCCCCATGGACAGAGATCACCAGCTTTGGCAGTTCCATCTTCCATTCTTTCAACATTAAATGTAACAGATGATCCAGCTTGGTATCATAAGAAGTTCTAATATACTGGAAGACATGTACATACCCATGAACATAAAATAAATATATGGCAGGTATAGAAACAATTACATACAGCAGGGCAACTGAAATGGCCCAAACTTGGAAGGAAATGACTGAGATCTCTTTAAAAGCTGGTCTTCATATAATAGAAATATTTACTTTCAAAGGATCCCACACCCCCTTTAAGTTCCTTCTGGGAATTACAAGTCACTGCAGGAAGATTTCCTCTGGTTTTCAAGGTTGGCTCACCACTGCTCTCCAGAGGGTCTGAGGTGAGGCAGAAGTACTTCAAACAACTGGGAAACCACTACTTCAACAAACTCACTAATAAGGACCTTTAAGAAATGCATGAAATAGGACATTTTTATAAATGCTACAGCTTTTCATTTATTTGACAGTTCCATCCAATCACACAATTTAAATTAAGATCAGGGAACAGGTACATCAAATTTATTGCAAATTTTATACTCTGTTCATTCACTTATTTATAATTATGCCTCTGAAAACAATTCTTTTTCCAAAATGAGTATTTTTCACAAAACAGTCTTTTCTGACTAGTTAATGCAACCAAAGCAATGAGGGAAATCCAAACCAAGTAAGAGTCCCCAGATCATTTGCATTTTGCCTAAGATTTTATGGCTGATTGACTTTTTGTCTTTTCAGCAGATGCAGCCACCTAGGGACTATTCAAATCATATCGACATGATTTTGTCTCCTCACGCCTATGCCAACCAATAGCAAGGATAAACCTGATTTACAGCAAGAAAAATAAGGTCAATAAGAAACTATGAGTCATAAAATTATGCCAAAAATAATCATAGGTGGAAATCTTCATACATACAAATAAGGATTACTATGTTATTTGCAGACTATGATAGCAATTTTAAGCAATTTTGCATTTATCTTTGAACTTCTTGAAACATATTCCATTTATTTCATAAGTTAAATAGAAAAACTCTAACAATATCCAGGATTCAATTTACAAGTGCAGAAACTGAGCCACCAGGTCTTTATTAAATACAAAAAAAAAAAGGTAAAAAAAATACAAGGTGAACTTCATGACACAAGGACCCCCGGAGGCAGAGTGGTTAAAGCACATGGCTGCTAACTGAAAGGCTGGCAGTTGGAACCCACTAGCCGCTCCTCAGGAGAAAGTTATGGCAGTCTACTTCCATAAAGGTTTACAGCCTTAGAAACCTTATAGGGCAGTTCTTCTCTGCTATTGACAGCTAGCTGTTGGTTTCAGTTTTGTGACATGGTTTCTGTTGCTCCAAATAATAAACTGAAGGGTAGAGGAGACAGTTCTTATTTAGCACCTTCTCTTTATCTCAACTGTTCCTACCAAGTGCCCTTCTCTTTCAGTTATCTGTCATTTTAATACTAAAAGACATTTCTCATTCCTTCAAATTTAAGGATATACTACCTTGAGAAACCAAATTTCAACACTAGAGTCTTTTCTACTACACAATAGCTTGTGTCAAAAGCCAAGAAAAGTTAATGACTTATTCTTTCCTCCCTGACTCCTTTAAAACCAACTCCCTTAGGCTGAATTCTACTGGCAGAGTGTCACCTCATATCCTTTGTAGAATAAGGTGGGAAGGGAAAAAAAAAACCTAGAAGAGGAATGCAGTGGAGGGGGAGAATATGGCTCTTGGAAATTTATAGCTCAATATAAATATGAAGTCAATCTCAAGTGCCATTCTGGGTCTAAATATGAAGGATAGCTCTTGTCTTCTACAGGATTAAATAAAATGCCTTCAAGTACATGGGTTGTAACAGTGAGCCAAATGTTAAGCATAAAACATATTAATAATCAAGGGATCTGTCTAACCATATTTTCAGTTCTCCTCAATGTGTCATATTCTCCCTTGACCTTTGCACAAGCTATTCCTCATGCCTAGAATGGTCTTATCCCTCTGCCTCACCAGAAACCACACACCTTACTCACCTTTCAGATCTCAGCTATCTCTATTTTCAGATGGCTTCCTTGAAATCCCTCCCAAACTCTCAGACCCTCTTCATGCACTCAAAAAAAAAAAAAAAAAAAAAATCACTGCCATCTAGTCCATTCCTACTCATAGCAACCCCTCCTTGGGTTTCTGAGGTGGTATCTCTACAGAAGTAGATTGCCCAATCTTCCTCCCAAGGAGTGGCTGGTGGGTTTGAACCACCAGCCTTCTGCTTAGCAGTCAAATGCACTCAAAGCATCCTGTATTCCCTTTTAATAGTCATTACCCTCTGTAATTATGTATTTGTTTCCCCCATTAGACTGTAAGCAACATTAGCACATGGAACAATTTATGCTCCTTGGGAAATAGCAAAATGTAGCTACCCAATAAAGATTTGTTGAGTGAATGAAAAAAAAAATGAGAATGAAGATGATTATGAATATGCAAAGAAAGTAGGATGACTAAAACTGAATGGAAAAATTTTATCTAGGATTCTGCAAAAGCCAATCTCCCAAAAATGATGGGAAAGGGGAATGAAGACAGTTTTCCTGCCAATTCGAGAAAACATCAGCACATGAAGTTACATCTCAGAAGATTTTAATAACTGAATTGCAGATTATTGTACAGTTGTATTATGATTGCACTACTAGGAACTACCAAATCCATTCAATTGATGGTCACACTGCGGGGTACAGTTGATTCCAAGATTTCCTGAAGTAGGATCCACCCGCAGTTATCCCATGAAAAGCTGCCTCCATCTAATAAAGCAGCAGGTGATTAACATGCTCAAGAGAAAACACATTTTAATACAATGCAAATCACATGCAAAATCAGTATGTTAAGGACAGTAAAGAAACAGGACTGGAAAGGCCGATTACTGTTATTCAGATGTTACAAAAAGAAATCCCTCCACTTCCTTCTGAGAATAGCCCTCCCAAGGACACAAAAGGTGTGGTTAGCCACAGGTTACTGGTAATTGTCATAATCATGCTTCAGCTAAAACCACACTCCTGAACCTTTTTGTATTCCTTTAAAAAGGACAGCCTCATTACATCTCATTATAACTGTCTCAAGGACAACAAGCCATTCTCTTCTGCAGAAGGTATAAGCTTGCCAAACAATGTCAGCCAAATAAATTGCCGATCACACCACACCTGGGAAAGGCATAGTGCCTCACAGACACAAAGGAAAGAGAAAAGTTAGGCCATTTTTGTCAAAGGTCAATAAGTTTGATCACATTTGCAAACCAATTATCTAAATTTCTATATTTGGAGATGCTAGCATATTTGAAGGCTATCATTTGTTAAAATCAGTAAAAACAATTTGGGTTATTAGCAAACCTTGGAATGGTATGTGTGCTCTCCATCTTGGAAATTAATAGTACCAAAGGTATCTGTAGGACTTTTGGTTGTGTGCTTTTCAACAGACCACTGTTCATTTTCATCATTCTTGGCAGCTGAGATGGTCCAGGGATAATCTACTCCATGATGGTCACCAATCAATCGCCCACAGTAACACCTTAAATTTAGGATAAAAACCAATTTCAGAACAGAATACAGGTACAATTGTTCTACATTTTTCTAAGATAAATTCGATTAACAGTTTTTAAAACTTCACATTAAGATTTATATCTGTGTTTATTTATATTTAATACATAGAGTGCCCAAGGCATTTGACTGCTAACCAGAAGGCTGGTGGTTCAAACCCACCAGCCACTCCTTGGAAGGAAGGTTGGGCAATCTACTTCCGTAGTGATACCGCCTCAGAAACCCAAGGAAGGGTCACTATGAGTTAGATCTGACTCTACAGCAGTGAGTTTGGCTTTTCTTTTTTGTTTTGCTTTTTTTTTAGGTGAAATATATACTTAAGTGTTTAATTCATATATATGATATATATATATATATATATATGAATAAATGAAATATAAAATGTATATTTAATAAATGAAAAAGAGAGGGTTAAAGAGGTTAAGTGACTTTCCCAGGGTCACACTGCTCATAAGGGATAAACTCAGGATACAGAGACATCAGACGCAGAGATTTTAACCACTCTGCTAGGAAATCCAGAAGGAATAATTTCACTGGAAAAAAAAAAAAAAGGCAAATGAATCAGTAAAACTTGCTTGTGTATGTACTTTAATTTTGAAAAGACTAAAAATAAAAAATTGCATGTATATATATAAAATAAAATTCTCAATGGAAAAGAATGTGAGAGACTTGTATTACAAGAATAAATTAAATAATAAAATATGTAATAAGTTGTTGAAGATAGATTTAATATATGTTCTTACATAGGATTAACAATTTTGAAAAATATTTAGTAAATAACCATAAATTATATTATACAACAAAATAAACTCAGCCAATAAAGGGGTTAAACCACTTTAAAACTAAAACTATGTAAAAAAATTTCCAGACTGAAAAATTATTGCATCAAATAGTCAGATTATATACTGTTAGAAAGACCTTACTTAAATATGTAAATGATTCATGATAAAGGAAAAAACAAATAATAATTAATTACATAAAAAATGTTTGCCCTTGCTGGAATTGTGAACTAAAGCAATTTTGAAGTACACTCACTAGTTTCAGCTAAATATTTGAAACTATAATATTAAAGTGGAATAATTTATAGATGTTGACAAGACCAAAGGGAAAGCAATATGTTCATATAAACCTGAAGACACAAAAATTTCTTTAATATTTTTCAAAATATGATGGCAAGTCACACTAAGACTTGTTAACATAGTCCTGCTTTCTAACCCAGAGTTACCACTCCTACAAATTATTTCTGAGTAACAATTCTATAACCACAAAAGCCTATATGCAAAATTTTATTTATTATAATACTAACTAAAACAGAAAAAAAAACAACCAAAAGTCAAAATAAGTTACTTTTCCTTAGAGTAATTATTTAATAAAATATGGCACATTACCATAATAAAAAATTAAGTGTAGATTTTTCTGAATTTTCTTTTTCAGTTGTCTCTAATATAGTTGTTATATGACTTTTTTCCCCAAATAATATGTAAGATGATAATAGAAAATAAAACTAAGGTGTTTTTTAACCACTTGTTATTTCAGGAATCAAAAATGTATCACATGAACTAAAGTAAAGAGTCCAAGCAACCAAGAGTCCAAGCTATCTTTTTTGGCCAGGAAGGAGTAAGCCCTCTATAGCTTGTATTTCCTGATGGTTACAACTAAAATCTTATTTCAAAGTACAAAAAAAGCAACTACCTGAAGATTCTGACAAGTATACAAAAACTGGCAGATTGTGAAAGCTTCAAAACTGAGAGAAATCACCCAGGTACAAGAGTGAGTTTCCTGGGTTCTTTCTCTCTTCTTTACCTCTCTCCAACCCTCCCTGCCTCCTTTAAATTTCAATAAAAAGTTTCTTTGGGAGTAAAAGAACAGGGAAAAGTGTCCTTTACGCTTTAATAGCACAGTAATTAAGCACTCAGCTGTTAACCAAAAAGGTCAGTGGTTTGAACCCACCAGCATCTCTGTGGTAGAAAAGACCTCGCAAACTGCTCCCTTAAAGATTACAGCCTAGGAAACCCTTTGGGGGCAGTTCTGCTCTGTTCTATAGGGTCACCATGAGTCAGAATCAACATGAATGCACCCAACAGCATGGTGTAGACAGTGTGGGAGATCTGTTTTGCTTGTTTGTTTGTTTTGTTTGTTTGTCTTTGTTTTCTCATTCAGGGCCTTTCCCTTCTTTGCTGACCCTCCGCTTTACCAAGCGTGATATCCTTCTCCAGGAAATGGTCCCTTCTGACAACTTGACCAAGGTAGGTGAGATGATGTCTGGCCATTCTCACTTCCAAGGAGCATTCTGGCTGCACTTCATCCGGGATAGATTTGTTTGTCCTTCTGGCGGTCTATGGTACTTTAAGCATTCTTAACCAACACCATAACTCAAAAGCATCAACTCTTCTTTGGTCTTCCTTATTCATTGTCCAGCTTTCGTATTCATATGAGAAGACTGAAAATACCAGGGCTTGGGTTAGGTGCACTTTAGTCTTCAAAGAGACATCTTTATTCTTCAGCACTTTAAAGAGGTCTTTTGCAACAGATTTGCCCAGTATGACATCTGATTTCTTGACTGCTAGATCCACTGGCGTTGATTGTGGATCCAAATTATATGAAATCTTTGACAACTTAAATCTTTTCTCCCTTTATCCTGATACTGCTTATTGGTCCAGTTGTGAGGATTTTCTTTTTATTTATATTGATGTGTAATCCATACTTCAGACTGTAGTCTTTAATCTTCATGAGTGAGTGCTTCAAGTCACCTTCACTTTCAGCAATCAAGGTTGTGTTGTCTGCATATCGCAGGTTGTTATTGAGTCTTCCTCCAATCCTGATACTGCATTCTTCCTCCTATAGTCCACCTTCTTGGATTATTTGCTCAGCATACAGATTGAATAAGTATGGTGAAAGGATACAACCTCAACGCACACCCTAAATTACTGCTTTTTAAAAAAATATTTTATAGTAGAGAAATAGAAACTGTTTTTTAAAGTAGCAATTTTAGAACTGAAAAATACAGAATTTGAAATTAAAAAAAATTTTTCCAAACTTAACAACAGCAGAATGAAAATGATAGAAAGAAATTCAGTGAACTTGAAGATAAAGCAATAGTAATTATCCTATCAGAAGAATAGAGTGAAGAAAATATGGAAGAAGATACCCAGAACCTCAGGGACCTAGAGGACAATATCAATTTGTGTCATTGGAGTTCCAGAAGGAGAGGAGAAAGAATAAATACCTGAAGAAAATATATTTAAGGGCCTATGACCAAATATGTCCAAAATATGGTTATATATTTATGGATTTAAGAAGCTCAGCAAACTCCAAACAGAATAAAGTCAAAGAACAACACAATCAGAAATAACCCTATCAAATTACTGAAAAATAAAGATAAGGGAAAAGAGTTTTGAAAGCAGCTAGAGGGAGATCTGGTGGTGTAGAGTCTAAGGCATTGAGTGCTAACCAGGCAGCTAGTGGTTCAAACCCACCAGGCACTCCTCAGAGGAAAGGTTGGACAATCTACTTCCATAGTGATACCACCTCAGAAACCCAAGGAGGGGTCGTTATGAGTCAGATCCAACTCAACAGCAATGATTGAGTGTGTGTGAGTGAGAGAAGGGAAAAAAAAATAAACCTGACAAACCAGAATTCTGAATTATGAAAGTATCCTTCAGGAAAGAAAGCAGAATAAGGTGAAGAAAAACTGAGAGAATTCACCACCAACAGACCTGTTCCAAAACAAATGCTAAAGGAAGTTCTCATTGAAAATAATAAAATGATACCAGAAGTAAACTTGGAACTTCAGATCTGAAAGAAAAGCAGCAGAGATGTTAAATACATTGGTTTAAAAAAAAAAAAAAAAACTATTTTCCTCCTCTAAAGATCTATAAAATATATGAGTATGGAAACCATAAATTACAACTTTTCTTGAGGAGATGTCAGTGTATGGTCATGCAATTGTTGTTGTTATATGCCGTTGAGTCAGACCCAACTCAGCAACCCCTCCTTGGATTTCTGAGGTGGTATCACTACAGAATACAGTTTCAGCCACAGGGATCCAGGTGAGGAGAGAGAACTCAGGCACGCCCAAAGCACCAGGGCGGGAGAGCGGGAGAAAGGGGATTAAAAGGCCCAGGAACCCAGACATAGGAGCAGTCAGCCACAGGGGTCCAAGTGAGGAGAGAGAACCCAGGCATGCCCAAAGCAGCAGAGCAGGAGAGCAGGAAAAAGGGGAGGAAAAGGCCCAGAAACTGGGACAGAGGAGCAGTCAGCTGCAGGAACCCAGGTAAGGGTGGTCTCCAACAGGGAGACAAACTTGTCTGTCAGTTTGTCCTACCATGGTGACATGTTGATGTGAGTTTTGAGGCTGAGCCACTGGTGTTTCAAACCCAGAGGGATGCACATGGTGCACAGGTATCAGCCCAGTTTACAGACTGAGACAGACTAGGAAGAAGGAAGAGGGTGTCCACTTCTCAAAGAATTGGCCAGGGAAAACCTT